ATCAGTTAGTTGAAGTTTTGCCTGAGTTATCGATTGTATGAAGAGCTGGCAAACGAGGGTAACAAGATAACAAAGACAGAACAGACCTCGAAATACAACAGCTAAGCCCATATAGCGAGAGAAGCAAGTTCGATATAGCGTACCAAGATAATTGATAATGAGCTTACAAAAAATGTTTCTTTAGTGATAACAACCTCTGATGATCTTAACGAATGTCGTTTAACGGATATTGACACAGATAGAAAAGAAAATGTCAGAAAGCAGGTCTGCACAACTAGGCTATGTAACTAAAAAGGTACGTGTAATTATTGAACAACTATTCATGGCGCAGAATAGTAGATATCGTCAACCAGGCCTGGAAAAAGAGTCATGGGAGGATGGTATCGTTGCGATACATACGCATATCAACGACAAGTTGACAGACAACAGCACAGAAGATACTAACGATAAGAAGCCCAAGAGCACATTCCTCTCTCACAAAGCTAAGGGGAGACGAAGTCTTCGAGGTTCTTAGCAAAACGACCGATAGTTGGAATGCGGACCTAGTGGACAACAAGACAAAACATTGCTCAGCCATAATTAGACCAATGGCCAGGTCAAGCATACACGAGGCGGACGGATGTATGTCTGCAGGAGCAAGTGCGGAAAGTATGAGATCAAACCATGTGGCGATACCGCCGGGCGCGAAGTGGTAGACCTGGCGCAATCTAGGAGAAAGTGACATACGTCTGATCAACGCCGTGAGTGTGTGCGCTATTGTGGTTTGTTGCCTGCCACACGGACCTAAGCACAGTGCTTGTATTGATGTTTTTGTGAGGCGCGTACATAGTAAGCCTTTCATATTTTACAAAATCGCTACATGTCTGCAATTCTCGGACCATCATAGCTTCAGATCAGCCTATGATGCGGGAGGATCAATATGTTGTGTCTGGCCAGCGAAGAACTCCTTTTGTGCCAAACACCTCTCACTCGTGCACTTTGGACATCTGAGAATCATCTGCGGGCTACACGCCTGTCCGCTCTGCAAATGTGCCTTTGCGATGTCTGCGAGTGCCTCGATAAAGACAGGGCTATCGTTCAAGCTCTCGACGCGCTTAACACCCTCATGGCCCTCTGCGTCCTCACCAATGACCTCCTTGTCCAGTTCGTATAGCGTCTCGATGTGGTCGCTAGTGAAGGCGATAGGTACAAGGAGCATGTCTGTCTGGCCCTTCTTCATGTATTCTTTGACAGTGTCTGAAGTCTGCGCTCCGAGCCAAGGTTGAGGGCCGACCTGCGATTGCCATACAAGGCGATATTTGTACTTCATGCCGAGGCGCTGCATCACAGCGTATACAGTCGCTGCGACTTCGGAGGGGTATGGGTCACCGCGGTTGACAACAGTCATGGGGAGACTGTGGGCAGAGAAGAGGATGACAACGCCGTCTCGTCGCTCAGCTGGGTATTCCGCGAGCTTCTTTTCGATGTTCTGAGCGAAAGCTTCTACTAAGCCTGGGTGTGCCGGCCAGCGGTCAATAACACTCCATTTAATGGCACCTTCAGGCTCGACTTCTTGACCAGTCTCTCCATTTGCGCGCTTGCCTTCCAGCCTCGTCCTCCATTTCCAGAGTTCGTTCAACGAGGAGCCGGTAGTTGAGCAGGAGTACTGGGGGTATTGTGTGAAAGCGACAGCACGGCCACCCTTGCCTGCTCCGAAACCGTCTGCTATCAATTGCTTGTATGTGTCTTCGGTAAGAGGGTTCGCATAACGGAAAGCAACGTAGGGCTTGTGAGGAGCGGTCTCGGGTGAGGTCTTGTCGAGGATCTTGCACATTTCTGCCGCCTGGTGTTCAGACCATTTCCTGATTGGCGATCCACCACCAATCTCAGCATACTGCTTTTGAATCTTGGGTGTTCGTCTCCGTGCAATATAGGGTCCGATATAGTTCTGGAGGGGTCCAAGGGGAATCAAGTCTTTGTCGGCCTACAATCCGTCAGTCGAGTATCTATGATGCATTCCAATCGAGTTACGTACGAACAACATGCTCAGAAAGCCATGGACCTCGTCTGTTGTTGATGGCCCGCCCATGTTCATGAAGACCATAGCAGTAGGTCCCTTAGCGCCAGGCGTTACTTGCGTAGGGGCGACTGTCGCGTTGCCTCTCCGCCATTGTGCGCTGTATGATGAGAGAACAGATGTGGCAGGCGTGATGGAAGTGGCACGCTTTGCGGCGCGCTGGCAAGATATGCGAAGTGCCATTGTGAGGTTTGCGACAAGAAAGAAAGTGTCTCCTCGAAGTGAAGTATAGAGGAGAAGATGCCGAGGCCAGAACTACAGCATGAATAATGTTCAGAACAGAAAGCGGCGTGAAAGCTCTGGCCAATGGCGGCAGGCTCGTTGGCAGTTGATGACGATCGTGGCTGGCGATCGGACGCTAGGGATTGCCCCACAGCAGCCTAGCAAACACGTGCCTACGTGTTGGAGCTAGTGTCGCGTTCCCACCCTGCTGCCTACCATGCTACGTCGTTGTCCCGCGCGCCGCACCGACTTATGATTGCCTGCCTGGGCTACTTCGTCCCATGATTCCTAGGAGTCTCCGAAGCCCAATGCTAATCACACTGTCGCCCTGTTGAGCTTTTACCCTTCTACTACAACAACCAAACGTTACTCGAGCCAAACGCGACTGTCGCATCATGGCGGCACCACAAGACAATCGGCCAGGCGAAGAAGAAGATGAAGAGGAGGAGATTGACGACTCTGTACGCTCAATGCGGCTTTGATACTCGGTGGTGTCACTAACGATTCATAGAGTTACAAGACAATCAAAGATGCCGTCCTGTTCGCCATCGACGTTAGCCCAACTATGCTTGAGAAACCCCCCAAATCAGAGGACAAGAAAGCTGAGCGCGATTCCCCGACATCCGCTGCTCTGAAATGTGCCTATCAGTTAATGCAGCAACGAATCATCTCGAACCCAAACGACATGATGGGTATACTATTATTTGGCACTGAGAAGACAGACTTGAAGGACGGTGACAACACGTTCCAAAACTGCTATCTACTTGCAGACCTTGACGTGCCATCAGCTCAGGATGTCAAGAGGCTCAGAGATATGGTGGAGAATGAAGAAGAGGCTGAAGAGATACTGAAGCCAACCAAGGACGGTGCCAGCATGGCAACTGTGCTGTTCTGCGCAAACCAAATCTTCACTACAAAAGCGCCCAACTTTTCGTCTAGACGCTTGTTTCTAGTGACAGACAACGACTACCCAGTCAAGGTAAAAGCAGACAAGGACACAGCGGTCACACGGGCTCGCGACTTATACGATCTTGGTTGTACTATCGACTTATTCCCCATATCGCAACCAGACCATACCTTCGATCGATCGCGTTTCTATGATGACCTCGTGTACCCAACATCACCATCAGATCCTGACGCGCCCATTGCCATACCGTCGACTACCAAAGTTGCGAAGAGCGGCGAAGGCATATCTCTTCTCAAGCAACTCATCGCTTCCATCAATTCCAAAGCCGCACCCCGCCGCGCTCTATTCTCATTACCCATGGAGCTTGGTCCCGATCTCCGTATTGGTGTAAAGGGATACATCCTTATCAAACGTCAGGAACATGTCAAGTCTTGCTACGTATGGGTTGGCGGTGAAAAGCCGCAGATCGCGGTGTCGACAACCACACAGATGGCAAACGAATCAGCCCGAGCCATTGAGAAAGCCGAGCTGCGGAAAGCATACAAGTTTGGCGGCGATGCAATCACCTTCACGCCCGAAGAGATCACACAGATACGGCAATGTTTTGGCGAGCCTGTAATTCGAATTATTGGCTTCAAGCCCATTTCCAGCGTTCCTATCTGGGCCAACACGAACAAATCAACCCTCATCTACCCCTCAGAAGCAGATTACATTGGTTCAACCCGTGTCTTCTCAGCCTTACAGCAAAAATTGCTGAAATCTCAAAAGATGGGCTTGGTATGGTTCATTCCGCGCCGCAACGCCGCACCCACGCTTGCAGCTCTCATCCCCGGGGAGGAGAGAACGAATGAAGAAGGCGAGCAATTAATGCCACCGGGACTTTGGCTCGTACCCCTCCCCTTCGCAGACGATATTCGGCAATTTCCAACACCACCGGAGCAACCCCTCAAGACCACGGATGCGCTGACCGACAAGATGCGCCTCATCATCGAGCAACTTCAACTACCCAAAGGCATATACGATCCTTCCAGATACCCTAATCCAGATTTGCAATGGTTCTACCGCATCTTACAAGCGCTGGCCCTCGAAGAAGAACTACCGGTCCAGCCCGAAGACAAAACCATTCCTCGTTACAAGCAAATTGACAAGCGGTGCGGTGAGTACATTGAAGACTATGGCAAAGAATTCGAAGAAGCATACGCACAACAGCAAAAGTCCGCACTAGCTCACCGCACTAAGCCTACAGCAAAGAAACGCCCGGGCGGCGGTGCAGATGGTGAGGATAAGCCAGCCGCTAAGAGAGTCAAGAAAGAACCAATGGTCAAAGCTGAAGACGGTGGGGAGGAAGAAGATGGTATGACTGATCAGCAAATGGCGGATCTGAACAATAGTGGAAAGATCAGCAAGCAAACAGTTGCTGTGCTGAAGCAATGGCTCAGCGCAAGGGGTCAGAGCATTGGGGGTAAGAAAGCAGAGCTTCTGGAGAGAGTGCAGGAGTATCTCGAGGGCAAGGGTCTGTGAAGCGCTTTCGTTACAAGGCTATACGATGGTCAAGCAAGGCGTTCTTGTGTATCGGAATTACGTTATACCACGTCTAAGTCGTCTCGACATCTATAAGGGAATAAATTCTATCGATCTGGTACGATGACCACAGCGTCGTGCTACCATAGGGTACATGATGATTTCGTACCTGAGACGACGCGATTCTCTTCTGGAGTCGTAGTGATACACTTTCATGGTTCCCATGCCCAGACAATTCATAAAACCATCCATGTATATGGGGTATCACATCATCCTCACTACCAATGTTGTCGACTAACCTTCGCCACCACTGGCATTCTCATCTTCAGAGTCTTCTTCGTACTTTTGTTGTGTAGACTTGTCTTCACGCTTCCTCTTTGTGGCTTCGATGCCGCCGGAGGTCAAGTAAAGAAATTGTGGATCTTTGTAGTTGTCCAAATGCGTGAAGAACGTGTTGAACCTATCCATAGTTAGAAGCTATCGATAGTGACTTGAATCAGAATAATACTCACTGATTGCCCTCTGCCTCTTCACGGAAGATACGCTGATAAATCTCCTTTTCTTTGAAAGCCTCAATCTTGTCGTTGTACCTCTCGAAATCAATGGGATCGCGTCCATGCTGCTTAGCTGACTTTGCATTGTACGACTCAAACACGGGCCTCTCGAGCAACAGGCCCAGGCCGGGAGCCTTGGGTATCCGGACAACCTCGTTACCGAAGCTCTTTTCCATGATTTCAGGGTCGGTACCGCATCGTACCGTCAACGCAGCCATACCAACCATCTTACGGATTTGGTGCATCATAAAACTCTGACCGTGTACCTTTAAACTCAACCACTCGGTATCGTTGATGATGATAGGCTTAGGTGCGACTTTGAAGCTCTTGATATAGCGCTGGGCGGACTTGTCGTTGTACTTCTTGTGCACGGTGTAGTTGTGGTAGCGGTGAGTTCCGAGGTAATTGTCGAGTGCAGCTTGGACTCGGGCCTGTCGCTCGGGGGAGATGCGGTAAGCCTTCTTCACGTCTAGATACGCCCTCTTTAGGGCTTTGATGGCTTCTTCGAGGACGGGTTGGTTGACGACACCTTCAGGGAGAGGACGGGAACCGTCCGTGGAGCTGTCGAGGGTAATGCTAGGTTCGTTTTGTTGTATCGTATCGATGGCTTCTTTGACTTCGTTTGCGGTCTGTTCGCTAGGAGTAACGTCGCCTCCGTCCACCATCGCAGTATCCGCAGACTTCTCTTCCTTGGTCTTGCGCTCGATATGCTCGATGGAGGCATCGACTATGCGATCTCCGCCAGGCGGCGCATCAATCACATCGACATTGTAAAGTGCCTCTAGCACCAGTGGTCGTATTGAGTCGTCAAGTGAGTCCAAGATGGGTTTAATGTGTTTCTCCTCCACCTCAGGCCAGAAATTGGCGACCTCGGCCTGTCTCTTCCGATAGCCCTCAACATCGTTCTCTTTCTCCGCGTACTCTTCCAACTTCTTTCCTAAGTAGCTCGAAGGATGCGGCGGGAGGAATGAGTGTGTCGGAATCAAGTATTCGTACCATCGAGAGGCGCATGCTTGGGAACAGCTGAATGAGCCGATAGTTCGTTGGATGCCCCAAACCCTGATCTGGTCAGGTAGATGGCTGTTGATCTTATCAACGATGTCTTCCTCTTCGATGATCAACTTCAACGATACAATATTGCCTGCAGCATGAACGCCCTTATCGGTACGCGCGCAACGGACGAGAGACGATTTCTTGGGGTCTGATGCGTTTGCCTTGGATATGGCACCGGCTGCGACAAAAGCGTTGAATAGATCGCCTTCGATGGTCTTTTGTTTGTAGTCGATCTGCATGCCCTTGTAGCCAGTGCCTGAGTAGCCGATCATGACTGCGACTTTGCGTTTCGGCCTGCGCTCTTCTGCCTCAACCTCCTCGGCAGGGAAGGCAGCAGGCAGAGCTGGTCTATCTTCACCCTTCTCTTCTTGCTCCTTATATTTGGCTTGTTGTTCGAGGTTGCGATCTCGTCGGTCTAATTGTGTGGAGCTTGCTTAGTTAGAGACGGGCGTTGAACCGACCGGTAGCTGCTCACTGATGTTCCTTACGCCCCATATTTCTCTTCTTATTCGGACGGCTTCCATGCTGGTGCCGTCCACCACCTCCCCTCGAAGCATTTCTGCGATCTTTGTCGGCCCATTTGCGCTTCTTGTCGCCTCGGTCGCGATTCGACGAATTGTTGTCGTGGCGAGGGCCTTCGTTGTCAGACATGGTCGCGAAAGACGTGTGACCAGCTTCTTCAAGTATTCAAAGCTACCGGTCATGAGGCGGTAGGATTACAAAGGATAGCTGTAGCTGCAAGTGAAGGTAAATTGTGGGGTCGTGGTTTCCATTTTCTCGGAGCTGTAGGCTTGGCGCGGCAGGTACGCTTCACCGCCCGAGCCACCGCTTAGTGCTGGAACTATGGTTCAGTCGTGTCTGCCTGTTGTATCTTTTGTAATCTCACCTTTTCTCCTACAGCAGCACCCCATTGTCGCGTCAACTCGCGCGCGGACAGACATAACACAAAGTAGAAAAGAATGCGCCTCGCCTGATACGTACAAATCCGTTTCGAGTCTCGCGCCCTGTCTGCGATCTAGTCTGGCGCATTCGAAGAAAGCCGTCCGCGCCCACCGCATCTCCTCAGCCGCCGTTCGAGCAAGACCTGAACGTAACCCTCTACAACCGCGGCCATGGGCGCAGCAATGAAGGACTCTGTAGAGAAGAACGGAGGGGATCCTGTACAAGCAGTGAAGCAGTTGTTAAGGACAGTAGTCCGTATGTTTTACGAGACGGAGCACATCGTCATTATGGACGCCCTCTGCTACCACGGCGCACTTCCCGTGGCCGATATGACCATTATTCTCGATGCAGGCAAGAACTCGAAACATGTTAGTAAGGTTGCGGGTAAGCTTAGGGAGGCCGGGCTGTGTTCTTCGTATACTCAGCATGTCCTGCGCCAGGGTGCAAACAAGGCATCAAGCAGAGAATTCTTCTACATCGACTGGCGCCGCGCCGTCGACTCGGTCAAGTACAAGATTCATAAGATTGACGAGGGCATCAAAAGGGACGCGAAACCCACGACCGAAAAACCCGAATTCAAATGCTTGCGATGCAAGTCCACGTACACCACCATGCAGGCGCTTGACCATCCCGATGACAATCCTGGGCCAGATGACAGTGGTTTCATTTGCGCCAGATGCGGCTTTCGACTGGACGAAATCGACCAGGACGTTCAAGCAGACGACGTCGACGACACTCCAGCCAAGTTCAACAAGCTGTTCGGACCGCTAATCGAGATGATGTCGAAAATCCAGGACATGGGTAATCTTCCCAATCTGGAACCGCCAGACATCATCAGCGAGAGGATCGAGCTTCCTCGCGATAGGAATGTGGACCCTGGCACGCAGGTCGAGGTTATCGAAACTGTCTCACGCCCGACTGCCGTCAAGGGTATCGATACGGGCCCGGAGAAGATCAACGTTCAGATCGGTTCGAGCGCGGAGGAGAACGAGAAACAACGAGCGGCAGACAGGGCGCGCCAGGAAAAGATGTCTTTGCAGAATCAGCTTCCTTCTTGGCATACCAAGTCAACTGTTATCAAAGACGCAGCAGGAAACACGACAAGTGTGAAGCGAGAAGCAGATGGAGTAGACACTCCCAGTATCAAAACCGAGCCAGGAGATAGCGTGGCCACTAACCAAAACCTCGATGCTGTCTTTGCCCAGATCGAGGCCGAGCGCCGCAGGAAGGAGCAGGAAGAGGACGATGACGAGGAGGACGAGGATGAGGATGAGTTTGAAGACGTTGACGTGGGCACTCCCAGCGCTCTCCCGGATGCAAAACGTGTCAAGCTGGAATCGTCCGCTGCCCCTACGCCTTCGGCTGCTGCAACACCAGCTGCAGCAACTCCAGCCGCGTCGAATGGTGGTGATGAGAGCGAAGAGGATGAATTTGAAGATGTCAACTGATTGATCACATAGCACTGGCGTTCAGGTTTAGGTGGCGTTCAACTTTCGAAAGCATGCAGGGATCGGCTTTGGCTGCAGTCATGATCTTTCGGCATACAAGGAGGGGAGTGCATGATTTAGAGCATTGCGTACTCTGTAGAAAGCATTTTCAAAGCACAAAAAGGAGGTAGATTTAATGTACTAAAAGATATCGCTTGACACTTTTGCCATGGTATAAATCGTGCATCGATGGAGAGAACCACCTGCGGTAATCCCATGTGAATAGCCTGTCGCTTTGGACCCCGAGCACTTGGTGTTGAATGACAATGCTCGTTAGCCGTCAGCCCTACTACGAATCCAAGCCATCGGAACTTAGGGTCTTAGGCGAGCTTGCACCATCCCACCTCAGATCCCCGCGTGCCTTCACCAAGACCTCCGCAATCTCCCCACCAGCGCCCATCACTACTCTCCGAACGTCTGCGCAGCCTTCTGATGGGTGGAAGATAAAGCGCGAATCGACAATGGCCGCATCGACCAAATCCCTCTCCTCGCTGCTTGCGCAAGCCACCATCGACGACCACGACGAAGTGCTAAAGGCCACCAATGCGGCGCTCAAGAAGTCCAAAGGCGATCTGGACGCGCAGCACACAAAAGCGGTAGCATTGCTGCACTTGGACCGTTATCAGGATGCATTAGAGGTGTTTGAGGGGGCGCAAGAGTTGCAGGAGAAGGCGCGGTTCGAGTACGCATATGCGCTCTACAAGACTGGTAATGCAGCAAAGGCTGTGGAAGTGGCCACAGCCGCGGGTTCAGATGCAGGTCGGGGGATGAAGCACATGCTTGCTCAGGCCGTATGTACCGGAAGGCATCTGAAGCATGCACATAGCTGACACCTGGCTGCCAGGCATACCGATCCGAGAACTTTGCGCAGGCCACCAAGATTTACAAGGAACTCGCAGACCAAAACGTCGAAAGCGAAGAGTACGATATTCGCATCAACTCGGGGGCTGTAGACGCACAACTGGAATGGACTGGGCAAGGCGAGCTCGCGCAAAAGAAGCAGCCCACACGTGAAGATCTAGAAGTCTTCGAAACGGCCTTCAATGCGGCATGCGGCAGCATATCCCGCAATGAGTTTGGACAAGCCCAAGTGTGTCTCAAGCGCGCGAAGGATCTGTGCAATGCACTCTCGGACCTTAGCGAAGAAGAGAAACAGGCCGAGTTACTGCCAATTACTGTTCAGCAAGTCTATGTCCTGACACAACTGGGCAAGATTGACGAGGCCGAGGAACTGGCCACCAAGATTCCTTTTGCAGAGTAAGACGTCCGTCACAAGCTCAGAATAACCACTAACAACAATAGCATCAAGGAACTCTCGACCCGCTACATTGCCCAGGTCAACAGCATCGCCGCCTCCAAAGAGCACTCAAACCCTTACCTCTCCCATCGTCTCTTCCACGCATCGCCGCAACCTCCCGTTACCGATCAGCATTTCTCCCACCAGTCCAACATTCTACGACAAGATGAATACGTTATGGCATTGCTGTCGCAGAAGGTCGCGGGCGTTGCATCTTCGACTGAGAAGGTCATCTCCGCGTCGCCTGCACCATCTCTGTCTCCTGCCGTCAACATGGCAGCAGTGTTGAATGCGGCAGCTCACGCAAGGAATGCAGACACCGAGAAAGCTGCATTGAAGGAGATCGTACCATTGCTAGAAAAGAGGCCAGCTGACGTGGGTCTCATACTCACGATAACGCACTTGTACGTTATCACAAACAACTATGCCGCTGCGACACATTTGCTAGAATCATTTTTCAAGCGATTGGAACAGAGTGGCTCAGCATCCGATTTAGACGTCCGTTTTGCACCAGGACTTGTTGCTGCACTTGTGTCGCTATATGCACAGCAAGGTCGACCAGGCGCTTCGAAGAACGAGTTAGCAAAGGCAGCTGAGTACTGGCGGAAACCTCACAAGTCGAAAACGGAAGCGCCATCCAAGTCTTTGATGGTCGCTGCTGGCACAGCACTTCTCGACACCCATAACCCCGACAACGTCAAAACTGCAGGAGAGATCTTCCAGGGCTTATATGACCAAGATAACGAAGACCGGGCTTCTATCGCTGGTCTTGTAGCCGCATATAGCATCACAGACCCATCATCAATACCTGCAGACCTCCTGGCTTACTTGCCAGAAGCCAATCGTCTGGTTTCTGATATCGACGCAGTTGAGCTTGAGAATGCAGGTGTTCCACTTGGCACCCTCACATCAGTCAACCTCGGAGCGGAGTCAAGGAAACGTAGCCTTGCGCCCAATAAGGAGGTACCGGCCAAGTCGAAGAGGTTGCGCAAGTCGAGAATGCCAAAGGACTATGTCGAGGGTAAGAAGATGGACCCCGAACGATGGCTTCCAATGCGTGATAGGAGCTACTACCGTCCCAAGGGTAGGAAAGGAAAGAAAAGGGCAGAAGGCCTCACCCAGGGTGGTGTTGTGGAGAATGACAAGGGCACACCGGCCGCTCAAGAGAAGAAGGGTGGTGCAGACAAGGGAAAGAATAAGAAGAAGGGCAAGGGTGGTAAGTGGTGAAGAGTTCATTGTGAGCCCAATCAAGCCAAGCAGGTGCAGATAGATCCATGTTGTTATAACATCGAACATGATGCATCAGGCGCGAGTCATGTACACGCGCCCCACTTGCCACATGCTTGTGCCTGGAATGTGTGAAGCTCCAAGCTACCCCGCCATCCCCTCGATCAACAATGAATGTGTGTCTCTCCGACTGCGCTTTTGAATCATCATTTCAACTGAATGGACCATCTCCCAAATGCGTCGGACGAAAAGCGGATCGACTACCATGAAACTGCAATGGACACGTTACGCCAGAGTGCGAAAACTGGAGACTAGAAGGAGCCGAGGTTCGCCGCGAACATTTCTACACTAAGTAATTGACTCTATGCCAATTACTAAGTAGAACTAGCACGTCCTTACACGTCTCTTACGTCTAGGCCTATGATGTCCAGGATCTACGTGGAAGATTTGGGAGACCCCACCGCAGCTTCGAGACTGTTTAGCTTTGGTTGTACTTAAAGATGGGGTTGACCGCTTCTCGTCCCTGCTATACACACTTCTTCTCCATCACAAGCATCATCAATACATAGATATTACATCTACCTAATCACATAGAGAAGACAAGGATATAAAGAGCTATAGATATGCCAGGCCAACAGACACGCCAATGGGTTCTTGCCAACCCGCCGGTCAACGACCCCGTCATCGAGGGCAAGGAC